GGGGGGGGGTGTAGTGCCAACGTGTTTTCGTCTTTAGAATAGGGCAAGAAAGGCCTCGCATTTCCGTTGGCGTTGCAATATCCACAGCATTAAATTGCCTAAAATATACATGGCATATGGACTTCGATAGACAAAAGGGAACATCACGCCCCATAGAGAGTGGATCGTCACATCGGTTATGTGAGGCCGTTTGTGGCTTCTTGCTTCGCCATCCGAAATGAATTCGACAACAGCCGACAACCGACACCGAAGGCAGCAACACTATCGGATGGGAACACAGATCTGCTGGCTATGCTTGATGGACATGATGGGAATGTTTTCGAAAGTGGTAGCAACTTTTTGTCAAGACTTCAACACCGAACAGGAAGCTACGGGGGGTTCTCGACTGAAAACACCGTCACCTAGCACCCTAAACGATGCTGCGCGTGTACAACGCGGTGACGTGAACAAATAGGGGGTGCCGTATCAAGGAATTGTAGCGAAAACGAGAACAGGCATGATCAGACACACAAACCACGTGCAACGCGATCGAGTGTCCACAGGCACTGCTGTCTGCTTGCTCACCTGCCACAAGCCTCGCCTCTTCGATAGCTCCCGGTGCAGCGTCCACTGCGCTGCTGAAGATGTCCTCGTCCGTGAGGTCGACGGTGGAAGCTATGCCGGCCTTCGCCTGGTCAAGTAGTGTGCCGCGGGAGTCGGGCGGGGGAGAGGGGTACAGGTGTGGGTCGGTGGGGTTGGTATAGGAGGGAAGAAAAGGTGACAGTCTAGGGTGGCGCGTACGACAAGTACGGCCATGTACACAACCGCTAGGCATTGTGTGACAACAATCACCTATTATCAACATCGAGAACCGATCTTCGCGAAGAACACCCGTGGAAAGTTGCAGGGAATGGTCGTGTGTGCACCATACACCAACACAGCTGAAACAGCATCAAGCAAAACAACCAACGCAAACCAACGCACACGGCGAGCAGCGCACAAATCATACCACAAAATACCCCCCCCACATCCCACGAAACGTTGACAACCACCACCACCACCCCCTCATCATGTACACGCACCCTCAGGCGACTGTAATCCCTCGCGGCCCTCCCCCGCAGACGCTTCACGAGCTGCTCCGACCCGGTGACCCCCGCCATTTCCAGCTGATGCAGCACCTGTTCCGGCGTGTCGAAAATCGGGGCAAGAAAAAATTTCGGTTCGCCAAGAACTACGCTGCATGTAGATGCGCCATGGCGTCATTTGTCATTTGCCGGGGCTCTTGCTCTCGCAGCATAATGAAGAAACGGCTTCTTCGCACAGGACTTTCATGTTACGTGCGCGCGGTTTATTCGCCTCAAGGCCCACGCGACAGTGCACTATCCCCAAGCTCTGCTGCCTCGGCGTTTTCATCCCCCCGTCCCCTCCCTCCTTTCACCCCCAAAGCACATGGACAGTAGTCTCCGTGAAACCGACCTCACTGACACGAACGGTACCGCTGCCGCTGCTACAGCAGCAGGTTGTTTACGGCGTTCTGTAGCATACAAAACCTATTCGAGTCGCAGCACATCTCCCAGGCAAAGATGAAACAGCACCACCGTAGCTTCGGCTCCGCGCCTGGCCATGCTGCACAGCACGCACAAAAACCCGCACCCACACGAATACCACAGAAGCAGCAGCTTCCAAGCACAATGATGTCTTAGATTCGGGCGCGTGCCCCGGCCCTCTCGCTGCTCACCCGATCCATGACGCCACCGAAGGTTATCCCGTCGGTCCAGTCGATCATGTTATCCACGTCAATCTTGCGCTTGCGCAGCTGCGGCCCGAGAAACGTGTAGGCCGCCAGCTCTTCCAGGAGGGGGGCCACCTGGGCGTAGTTTTTTGTGGCGATTCAGGGGGGCGGGGGGCGGGGTGATAGTAGTCACACTTCAAAGCGCGCCATTGCCTTGAGGCCATAGAAACTTGGGGTCGATACAAAGACGCACGGGGCACGTCGTTTTTTCTCGACTACAGCGGCTTGCATAGAGATAAGCACCAACCGTATCTAAATTTACTGCGTGATACATTGTGCTTTCTTTCTTGCGTATGGAAGGGCGATTGTGTCGTTTGTAGGGAGTGCAGGGGGGGGGGGGGGGCTTTTTCCCAAAACTAAGAAAATTTTCCTTTTAAGGGAGGGGGGGGGGGCCCCCCCTTTTTTTTAAGGCCCCAAAGCCTCCAGAAAAAAAAAAATGTTTTTTTTGCCCCAAAAAAAAAAAACCCCACGGGACCACGTTTCTCGATTGGGCCCCCCCCGTCCACCCCTGCCGCCCAAAAAAAACCCTTTCTCAAGTCAGGGAATTTCCCCAAAATGGGACCCCCCGCTACCAAATTCCAAAAAGCTCTGGGGCCCCCCGGAGGGTACCCCCCCCCCCCCCACGTAGCAGCCGCATCCCCCAAAAAAATTCTCCTTTTCCCCCATAAAAAAAACCCCCCCGGGTTTGGTTTCCCCACTGCCCTTTTCCCCAAACCAAAAAAAAACTGCACAAACCCAAAGAATTTGAGG